TTATTTTGAGTAACTTTTTGAATTTTAACATTTTAAAACAATAAGACCCGAAAAGAAAATAGTAGATTTGCAAGACTTATTTGAGAAGTGTAATTGAAATATTTTATGAGGATACATTCTACATCTTGTGAGAAGAAGAAAGTGAAATAGATAAAGCTTCTTTAATTTATTCGTTCCTTTTACTTTTTTTTTTTTTTTTTTTTTTTTTAAACCTTGAGACACAACATAATAAAAACTTAAAAGACTAAATTCTCTATACATGATTTCTCTTAGAAACACTTTGATTTATGAAAAAGTCTGTAATCGTTATCTAAATGTACATTTTGAATGAAGGGTGTTGTAAGTGTATAAATGATACACATTAAAAACCAATTTGTATTGGCTAATTTAATTGTCAATCTAATTAGTGTGCTTTGAATTTGCTTATGGACCATGAACCGTATCTCAGATATGTACAGACTACAAGGTGAACTATATTTGGAAGCTAACAGTGTTGGACAAATAGATTAAGCAGCTTTGAAGAAATAAAGGAGTGGTCTTAATTAATTTAAGAAGTTAGTTAATTGAATTAATTCTGAATGAAAAATGGTATGTGCTAAAGAAAAGATGTGGAAGGAATTATTTTGAATTGATATTGCGCATGGAATGGAGCTTTCAAACAAAACATGTGGTTGTGGTTAATTGAAGTATTTAGAATGCTATTTATGTGGATCATGTGATGGGGTGAGCTTTACTATAAAATGAAGACATCTTCTTTTAGAAAGTTGCTGATTTGAGAATTGATATATTGAGTAAAGAACTTTCTGGAAAACTACTGCACAAATATCTATTGTTATTTTATTATTTCTTGAGAAATTCTGCCTGAGCTACACAGTCAGTACCTGGTACAGCTGAAGCTGAAGCTTGAAGATTGTTATGGCATGCACGGTTCAGTCCTGAATAGGTGTTAGGAAGGGTTGTAGTGGTAAAGGCTGAGAGCCATATGTACTTACCTCCTGTAATACTCCTTGGTGAACATCTATAGTGGATTGGACAGACGTGGGTTGCCCCGCAGATGTAAGAGAAGCGATCCGAACTGCGTAACAATTCTCTTGTGTTATTTTTTTATTTTATGCTTTCAATTTTTGTTATTTACATTTGATTAACAAATCTAATTAATGAACACGATTGTTGCATAACCTAAAATCAAGTAGAATTCTAAGGTTCATCTTGTATTCAAAATTCACGGTGCAATTTCAATTGGTATCAGAACTAGCAGACTTAAAGTATTAGTCTGTCGATCTGGCGATTCCGTGCCTCTTGAATTCAAGTCTTCAGCGGCTTTTATTATTTATCTGTTTCTTGCTTATTTGTTCGATCTCACGGGTTGTTGAGTGTTACAGAATGGATCGATATAAAATTCTTCCCCAGCTGACTGGCGACAACTACGCCTATTGGAAAGCAAGCACTCGTACACACCTAAAAGCTCAAGGTGAAGCCGCGTGGCGGTCGGTGGTGTCAGGTTGGACTCATCCCACCAAACCCAGTACTAGCACTGACGGAACAGAAGTAGTCACTACAAGAAATGTTTCATTTCTGGACGAAAATTTTAATGATGCTCTAAAAAACGTCGCTAAATATAACAATTTGGGACGTTATATTAAATAACGTCACTATATATTTTGGTAGAGTCAATCATTTTGTTTTTAATATTTACTGTCGAAATATAATTTTTTTGTCAGTAAAGATATAGAATCAATGACGTTTTATAATAAACGTCCCTAAATATTTTATTTTAAAAATCAATTTTAGCATAAAACGTCAGGAAAAGTGAAAATATTTTTGCGGGAAAACTTTTTATTATTTGGAGGCATTGGCGCCAATAAGAAACATCCTAGTAAACTCAGCCAATTTTTTTTGTTTTCAGTCCCAAATACAAACTTTTGTTCCCTCACTACACTTTAGCGAGAAAAAAATACTTTTGCCTTGCCTCCCAGTACACAGCTCACACCCAGCTCCCGTTTCTCCCTCCGGGGACCTCACACGCCCACGAACCCCGGCCAGCCACCGCCGTCGACGTCGCTCCAACCTCCTCCGGCGTCGCCTCTTTCCTTCTCTGCTTCCGTCGCTTTTCCCGGCCTCCTCTACCGCCGTCGTGCCGCTTCCCGACCTCCTCTCTCGCCCTTAAGCTCCTACAGGTTAGTCCTCAATTTTTTAACCCTAATCCCTAATTTTTTAATTGTATTGTTGAATTTCCATAGTTGAAAGCTATGAATGTTCTTAAACCCTAGGTTAGTTGTGGATAATTAAGTTAGTTTATGACTGACAAAACAGGGACAGTCACTGAAAATAAAATGATTTAAAAAGATGTTTTGTTAATGAAAGTTTCTATGGCAGTGAGAATGGAGATACTGTAAAAGATAAGACTATCCACTAGAAATTGGTGGTTCCTGTAGCTACCTTTGACCTGTAGCCATTCTGTGTACAAAATAACCCAAGTTTTTCTTGATAAGATGATAGTGTTAAACTAACCTTAAAGTTACACTTAGAATTTATAAAAATTTGGCACCTCATGAGAGAAACTAGGATTGAGTTTTTATTACCCCTGTCATTTATTGACATTCATGCAAAGCTGAGCAACATTTTATAATATAATTTAGTTGGAAAAAAGCCTTTAAAGGTTATTTTCAAAGTGAGACTTGGAGTTGTGATATAGATTTTCCTTTGTTATTTTATTATATATTTTATTATAGTAAGGAAGAATTCACCAAAAAGTAAAAATAAAAACTGGTTTGGCCAAATGATGGTACAAAGACATTATTGTCATAAGGAATGTATTCTATCCATAAATAAATTTCTCTAAATGTGTATGAATCCATTCAAAACATTTTTCATTCCTATCATTCCATAAACTGATTTTTCTCATTCAGAAAACCCGTGTGAAAAGGGGTTGGTTGTTGAATCTAATGCCGATAAACTTACAAATGCTTCCCTAATTACTGCAAGTGGTGGAGCTGTTACTAAGAAGGATGAGCAAAAAGCAAATAAAAAGCCTGCACCAAACAGCTTCCCTTCAAATAATGTTAGGAGTTGTCAACTGGTATATTTGATGGAGTTCATGTCAAGTACATTGCATGGTCACGGGGGGTATATTTTACTTCTAATTAGTTCTTCAAATTGATATTTCATTGATTGACAAGTCTTTCATTACATGGTAGAAGGAGCTTCATGGCATTATAAAGGGTACCAATTATCTCTGTGGCTGTCAGTCCTGTATCTTCTCCAAGGTCGATCAGTTATCAATTTTTATTTTATTTTTTTTAAATCAGGATTCATATGTCCATTGTTTGTTTATTGATGTTCTATACTTGTTTATGCTGTAGACAATTAATGCATATGAGTTTGAGCGTCATGCTGGTTGTAAAACAAAACACCCAAATAATCACATTTTGAGAATGGGAAGACAATTTATGGGATTGTTCAAGAGCTCAGGAATACACGTCAGGATTTACTGTTTGAAGTTATCTAGAAAATCAGTGAATCACCTATTAACCAAAAATCCTTTCGTATTTGGAAAGGTTCGGTGATCACTTATTTTTGTTATACTTCAAATACCTTTCTCATGGTATATATATATATATATATATATATATATATATATATATATATATATATATATATATGGTTTGTGCTTTTCATCTATTTGTAAGCTCTTTCTTTATCCTCAGAATCCTTTCTAGCTGCTACACGTGAACTTCAGAGGATATATGCGAAGGATGAAGGAAAACTTTTGTCTTGAAATAGTGACAATAAAAAGTGAGGTATGTTAAACAACTGAAATTTTCATGAATTCTAGAGCAATCTTAACTGCTGGAATCTTAACTATTGCAATCTTAATTTTATGAAATTCCAGCAGCTAGGATGCTCTCTGTTTCTGTGAGCTTTGCAGGATATATTTTGTGAGTAGCATAGGAGCACAGTGCCAAAATATTTTATCATGGATTGCAGTTCTACTTCAGGGCTAGATTTTTTCATTTGTTCACATTACTTCTCAGCTTCTAGAGTCATTCTTCTAATTCTTGCTTCTTATTTAGTTGTTTTTGTTGAAAGGCACTCCATAGTGTACATAAGTTCTTCTTTTGCTGCTCTTTTATCCTAAAATAAGTAGTGTGAGTGAGTTGTCGAAATGAGATAAATATATGATACTATCTTTTGTTCTATTTTGTGTCAACAAAATATTTTATCATGGATTGCAGTTCTATGACCTTTTAAATATTTTTGAGCTCAATGGTCCCATCTGAAGATAATCCATATCTCTTGTGACACTTTTGTGACATTTTTGAGCTCAATGGTCCAAACTAAGTGACACTTTTGTGGAGCTTTTTGCTGAAGTATTCTGCTTTTTACTCATGTGGTAAATGGGAAGATATTTTTTTCCATGGAGGCCTTTTTAGTGTTGATGGTATTAAGCTCTCTGATATTAGAGCCATTGACTGGTTTTGTGAGCCACCAGAAGAGGGTAAGCTCTACATGTATATTTTGCTTTTGCAAGAATTCTAGCATGTTGATTACTTTTTCTTCTCTTGGTCACTTAGTCCTCCATTGATATTGCCCACAAAGAAGATTTGATACATTTCTATGTGAATTCTCTGCAATTTTTGGGTGTTCATGTGGCATTACTGTAGCATAATATATCCTTTGGGAATGAACTTCATTTGGAACATTAGCTAATGTAGGCAATTCTTAGTTTGGTTAAAGGAAAGTCAGCTCTTGATGCTTATGAAATAGAACATTTGTCAAAGAATTCAATCTTTGATAGTCATGTCAAAGAGAGGCTACATTTATGCTCAGATCATATTTTTTAGTTGACTTAATTGAAGGTTCTGAGTTATGGATGGAGAAGGTACTGAGTTGCTTCATTTATGCTCAGATCATATTTTTTAGTATGGTGGAAAAATGGCCTTTGAATTAGAAATCTGTTGCTTATTTTCACTACTTTTCTAACTTGATTGTTTTTTGACAGGCTATTCTTTACCAGAAGCTTGGTCAGGAAGCACTGGTCCTCCAAATTTTGGCATTGTAAGTATGTAGGCATAATTCCTTTTCTGTGTAATAGTATTATCTTTTGATTATCATAATCAAGAGTTAATGCCAAGCTTAATTTTGAAAAGAGAATATTTTCTGTTCATTAATTGTATGAAGTTCATTTTGTTATTGTTTTCTGATAGAAAGCTAGAGGACTGTGAAGCTACAGAACAGTATTGTGCAAATGTTGGTAGACCAGATGCATATATGCAGTGAGTACATCCTGCAACCATTTGTTTTCTCAGTGTTCTCTGCTAGATAAATTTTTGCTTATTTTTCAATGATTTATTTTCTTAGGTTGCTTGATATGTATTTGGATCCCATAAATGGGAAAGAGCCCATGTTTGCAGCTGCTGTTCGCCTTCTACACAACCATGGAGAAATGCTGGATCCATTATATACACATTACATCCTTGTAATTCAATATTATACTATGAAATGTATTCTTCTATTTTGAACATTTAATTGATGCTAAAATATTTTATTTTCACTTACATGAAACTTTTGTTTAAACCTTTTTATATACAAGTATATGTAAATATAATCAATTATTAAAAAAAATTGCAAATATCTCCAAATATAAAATTTTGCAATCACAACGAATATTGAAAAAACGTCAGTAAATGTCTTTTTACTGATAAATTGTTATTTTGTCATCAATTAATTTTTTTAATGACAAAATAATAATGTATACAATCGTCAATAAATATTATTTTATTGACGCATTTCGTTTTTCGTCACCAATTAAATTTATTCATGACAAGTATAATTATATGGAAAACGTCAGTAAAGACACATTTGCTGACGAAATATTTTACTTCGTCACAAACTATTACCGATGTTTTGTTAATATTTCGTTTCAAAAAGTATGTATTCCATGACATTATCAAGACCATGCAAAAACGTCAGTAATAGTAATATTTTTTGATGAAAAATTAACTTCGTCAGTAATACCTTTCCATACGCCGCTAACCCGACGGTCCGGGTGACGTTTTTATTTCGTCAGTAAAGACATTTGGCGACGCATTTTTATTTTTACCGACGTGTAAAAAACATCGCTAAATGCTAATATTCTTGTAGTGAGTTAAACCTGAGATTGAGTGGTCTCTAACCGAGATAACTAACGCTGGAAACAATGATAAGGCCTTAGATACGATTTACTCTCTTATGCATGAAAGTCAGTTTTCAATAGTTGCAGGTATTGCTTCAGCTAAAGGTGCTTGGGAAGCTCTTGAGTCGACCTATGAAGGAACTACGTCGGTGAAACAATCAAAGCTGCAGCTAGTCCAGTCCGACTTCGAAGAGCTTCGGATGAATGAGGATGAGACTATCATCAACTTTCACACACGCGTACAAGAACTGGCTAATCGTGCAATGGTCCTTGGTGAACCATTCTCGCAAGCAAAGCTCGTTAAGAAAATACTGAGATCTTTACCCCCCAGGTTCAGAATGAAAGTCACGACTATCCAAGAACATGATGGCTGGGAGAACAAAACGGTTACTCAATTAAAGGGAAATCTTCGAACCTACGAAATGGAAATTTTAACTGATCACACGAAAATGAAAAAACAAAAAATGTAGCTTTTGCCGTTGAAGGAAATAATGTTGTATCTGATTCAGACGAACCAGGTGATGATACAGTTGTTTATTTGACTAAACAATTTTCTAAAATATTGAAACAAGTATCAAATAATTCACGCAACAAAAATCCACAAAGAGGAACAAGTTCATCAAACTTCAAACAGTCTGTCTCACGTCCAGGACAGTCCAAAGAAAAACCTAACAATAAAGGAATCAAGTGCTATGAATGTGAAGGCTTTGGACATGTACAAGCAGAGTGTGTCACCTACCTTAGACGCAAAATGTCTATGTCAGCCATTACCTGGAGTGACGACGAGCCTGATGTTGAAACAACTGGATCTAATGTCGAAGAAATCTCGGGTAATTTTGTCGCATTTACTGCATGTGTCGCTGGCTGTTCGGAATCTGTTGAAGGAGCTGACTCAGAGGGTGGTGAATATGTCTCCGCGGAAGATTAGAACTAAATGCTTTGTCTTTTGAAGTTGAGTTTAATAAGTTGTATCCCAAATGGGAAGCCCTACGAAAAGCAAATCGTAAACTAGCAAGTGAGATAGAGATTGTAACAAATGCTAGCAAAGTATATCAAACTCAAATAGCTGATAGGAATGTACAACTTAAAGAGGCGGCCGACCGAGAAGAGAAACTATAACAAGAAGTACAGACCCTGAAGCAGGAGCTAAGCACCTACAAACGACAAATCCAAATGATGGACACCACTTCAACACTTGACAAAATCCTTAACTTCGGAAGAAAAACTTCTGCAAAATTCAGTTTGGATTTCACCGGAAGAAACTCAAAGGATAAAACGATATTCGTCAAAGCGTCTGGACCTGATCCAGGAGATATTCCTGAATCCAGCTCAACGAAACCTAACAGTGGTATAGTAAGGTCAAACAAGCAACAGTACAAACTCTATAACCCTGTATGTCATTATTGCAGGTTGCGTGGCCATACCAGACCCGAATGCTACTACTTCTACAAGGATCAAAGAATCGAGAAGTTCAAGCACAAGAACATCCAACCCTTTACAAAACAGATTTGGGTTAAAAAGACTGACTATATTTCGTTTGTCTCTTTTCACTCTAAAAGTGCAGGAAGATAAGCGAAATGGTACTTTGACAGCGAGTGTTCCAGTCACATGACAGGAAATGCCAAATTTCTAAGTAATGTAAATGCAAGAAAAGGTGAAGTTACCTTTGGTGACGGTATTAAAGGTCAGGTCACTGGCATAGGCACGCTAAATGTAGTTGGCCTGCCAAAACTAGAAAAAGTATTGCTAGTTAGTGGACTGCAGGCAAATCTCATAAGTATAAGTCAACTATGTGACCAAAACTGGAACGTGTGCTTCACCAACAATAACTGCAGTGTCCTGGACAAAACAAATCAATGCGTTATAGAAGGTAAAAGGTCAGTTGATAATTGCTATATTCTAACTAACATATCTTCTGTTGCAGGACCTGCATAGATAAAGCTGAGCTATGGCACCAAAAACTGGGGCATCTGAGTTACAGACTACTTGATAAACTAATGAAGATAGAAGGTGTTCGTGGTTTACCCAAGATGAAAGTCGAATCAACCATTTGTGGTGCTTGCCAAGCTAGGAAACAGACCAAATCATTTCATCCAGCTCAACATACCGTAAACACGAGTCACTGCCTAGAACTAATCCACATGGATCTCGTTGGTCCTACTCAAACAGAGAGTTTTGGAGGTAAGAAATACATACTGATATGTGTTGATTATTTTTCACGTTTATCGTGGGTAATCTTTCTCAGGGAAAAATCCAAAGCACTTGAAGCTTTCAAAACACTATGAAACTCCAAAAGGAAAGAAATAAAACTATTATTCAAATTCGAAGTGATCACGGACGGAAATTCGACAACAAATTGTTCGATGCCTTTTGCAATCAATCAGGAATTACCGACGAGTATTCAGCACCAAAGACACCTCAACAAAACGGAGTTGTTGAATGAAAAAACCGCACCATTCAAAAAATGGGACGAGTCCTGCTCAACGCCAAAGGATTACCTCAAAAATTCTGGACAGAAGCTGTAAACGCCGCATGTCACATCCCCAACCGAGTCTATTTCCGGCCAGGCACAAGTCAAACACCGTATGAATTATGGAAAGGTAAGAAACCGAATATTAAATACTTTCACATTTTTGGCTCAAGCTGTTTTATTTTGAAGGATAGAAATCCTGTTGCAAAATTTGAGCCAAAAGGCGACGAGAGGATCTTTCCCGGTTATTCAACGAACAGCAGTGCATATCGTGTATACAAAAGAATTGACCAAGACCATCATGGAGTCTACAAATGTTGGAATTGATGATCAACCGAATGATACTGTTGAAGTTTCACAACCTGAGTCAGTGACAGAACCTGATGCAAACCGTTCTGAAACTCCTGATCCTGAAACTCCTAAACCAGATCCAGAGTCACCTACGCTATCACCCACGCCATCTGAACCTGGCCCAGAACCAGAATCAGAATCTGACACTGATCAAGACGACATTGACATTCCAACACGCATCCACAATAGATCATCCATCTTCAAAATTAATTTTGCCATCATCTTTGGTGATAAGGTCTACAGGTTCATTACTCTCTAATTCCTTTTGTTGATTTCATGAATATTTTAGGGTGTCATTGTCTAATGTGTCCTGTGAAATACCTGCAAATTTTCCTATGTCTAAAGCTGAGTTTTTATGTGTTCCTTTACCTAATTTGGTGCCCTCTACTTCAATATCCTTGCATTCATCAAATCTTGACAATTCTTCATCTTTGCCAGTGTAATATTTTGCATCTATGTCTTTTTTGTGAGTATGTCTCTCTATGTTTGATTTGTCCTCTATTCCAATTTTTTTCCTCGCAATTAGTCCTTTTCGTTACCTACTCTAAACTGCGGATTGATTCTTTGTGTTTTGTTATTGACTGTTTTCTATGCGTTTACTAAATATTCTACTTGCGTTGCTTTGAGTGCTTTTAACGGATTGATTCTCTGTGTTTTGTTCTTGACTGTTTTCTATGCGTTTACTAAATGTTCTACTTGCATTGTTTTGAGTGATTTTAAATGATAAACCTATTTTTGCTTAGGTTATTTTTGTTTCTTGTGTTGCATCTTTGAATTCTCTATGGTTACTTGAATGAAAATTTGATGCAATTTGTTTAATATTTGCACAATATGTGAATGTGTTTTGTTGGTCCGGTCATGAACGTATCTGTGTTTGCTTGTATACTTATTGTGCTTACTGTTATGAATTTTTGCCTGAAGTTGATTTATATGAATCTGTGCCTGTTTTTGCTCTATTTGAATCTCTGGCTGAATATGCTTTACCTGAATGTGCTTACTGTCTGTTTTGCCAATCTATCTTTTTTGAGTGACCCAATTGTGTGCTTTTTGTGTTATTTTCTATGAATTTGTGCTTGAGTGCGTTTATTACTTGGTATGTTTTATCTACTTAATCTGCTCCAACTTGACTTGTGCTTATATGTTATTTGTTAAAATTGTTATCGTTCTACTTTTCTTGTTTTGTTTCTAATCTTCTTCTGCAGGTTCTGTCTCATAGGGAACTCCGTCCGACTCAATCCAAGAATATAGATGTTCACCTTTGTCAAATTTATTTGGCAAAAAGGGGGAGTATATACAAAAGGTGAGTATGGATTAAGGGGGAGTTTTGGTAAAAGTAAGGAAGAGTAGTAGTAAGGGGGAGTTTTGGTAAAAGTAAGGAAGAGTAGTAGTAAATAAATGGTTTAATGAATTGTTGTATGTGACTGTTGGAGTTGGGTCATGTTGGTATGAAGTTAGTAGCTCTCTATTATGCAGTTCTC